GCGCCTGCTCCTCGCCTCCAGGCCCCAGCCCGGCCGCGCCAGGCCGTTACTCCGCGGGCACTGCGCGGCAGCTGGGAGTCCCGCGGCTCGAGGCCGGGCTGCGCATTCCGCGGGCCGCTGGTGCCTCCGCTTCCTAGCCGTGCGGCAGCCCGGGCCCGGGGGGCGGGGCGCGGAGCCGGGGAGAGGAAGGGGCACTGGGCGGGCGGCGGGCTTGGAGGAAGGATGGCATTTGGGGCTGGGGGCTTATGTATGGGAGCCCTGGAAAGGCGAGTGGCCGTGAGCTTTGGCGGGTGGATGAGGGTGGGCGGGTTCGTGGTCTTTGAGGGTTGGGTAGGCTGTAGAAGATTGGTTCGGGTTTGCCCGTGGGCTTTGGCGGGGTGGGGTAGGAGGCGGCTGTGGGAAGGGCACCCAGTCATCCAGTCTGGCCTTTGGAGGATGGAGGGGTGCATGTCCTTTTGGGGACCAGGAGTAGATCCATTGGATAGAATTTTTGATAGGGACATGATGTGTTTGGGAACATCTAGACGATGACAGGCTAGGGGAGCGGACTCAGCCTAGGGAATTAGGAATTGTGACATGCATCCAAGGTCTCCTGCACCCTGATGGCTAAGCCTTCCCTCCCCTCTGCGTGGGCACCTAGGGAGGCCCATCTCACCTGAAGCTGTCCATCCAGGTTTCCATAGCAACTGGCTGCCCAGTACAGGCGGCCTTTCTGAGACTACGGGGAGGGGAGCGAGTTGGCGCTGGAAGGCTGCTGGCCCTTCCCTCTCGGATAGCAATGCCTTTTATGCGTGGGGGTGGAGCCTGCCTGAGCCGGGGTTCTTGACAACTGGGTTTGCATGAACCCTCTGACGTATATACAAAATTTTGCACGTGTATATATTTTTCAGGGGACAGGCTCTATGTATTTTATTCTCTTGTCAAAAAAGATCCAACAAGACAAATCTAGACTGTCTTAGTCCGAAACAGCCTGCCGGTTCCCATATCATTTGTCTCTCCACAAGGGTGGTTTAGTGTAGTCATGCTTGAGTTTATAAGTCTAATATCAAGATTTCAATTTGGTCATACTTAATGTTTGCATTTAAAAGGCATCCATTTCCTTGTTTTTCATCTCAGGAAACACTGGCAAACCTGGAGAGACAGATCTATGCTTTTGAAGGAAGCTACCTGGAAGACACTCAGATGTATGGCAATATTATTCGTGGCTGGGATAGGTATCTGACCAACCAAAAGTGAGTGTCAGAAGCCTGTAATGTTTATATTGTGACTAATGCTTGTTTTTAGGGCTGTGTATGTTCTTAGTAGCAACTTTGCAGGGAGGCAGCACTAAGTGGTAGTGTAGAAAGAGGTTTGGGTTTGAACTTTGGACTCGGGCTCAGCCTTACTGAGTCATCCTGGACAAATCCTACATCTGTAGACTAGAGAAAGTCGGGCCTATGGCACAGGGGTGTGTGAGGCGTAAGTGAAGTGTGCCTTACACAACAGCATTCTATTAGTGTCTTCCACATTTTAATCAGTCATGAATTCCACCCTCGCAATATTTGCCATACCTGTATGCCAACCCTACTGCTGTGTATTCAGTACTGTTATTCTTGAAAACTTTCTAAACTTTTCAAAAATTTAAAAATCTGTAGAAAAATGGAAAGAATAGTACATGAATACTTGATACCCTTCACCAGCATTCACCGATTGTTAACTTGTTGCCACATTGCTCTCTCCTCTTTCTCTATAATATATAAACATACACACCTATATCTACATTAAAAATTTTTTTAAATTTTGAAATGGCTATAGATACATAGGAAGTTACAAAAATAATACAGAGAGGTCCCATGTACCCTTCACCTAGTTTTCCCCAGTAGGTTTTATGTAACTATAGTATAACATCAAAACCAGGAAATTGACATTAGTACCATGTGTGTATGTAGTTATCATTTTAACCTGTGTTGATTCGTATAACCACCGTTGCAATCAAGATACAAAACTATTCCATCACCACAAAGACCTCTGTGATGCTGCCCCTTTGTGATTTTATCTTCTCTTTCCCCCCTATACTTTGGGGTTTTTTGTTTTGTTTTTGCTAAACCATTTAAAAGAAGTAGGTATCGTGACACATTGCCTCTAATTATGTCAGCAGTTATGTCCTAATAAGAACATTTTTCTTAGCCACAATTATCATGCCTAGAAAAATTAGCACTACATTAATAGTAACATCTAAATCACAGTCTTTATTCAGATTTCCCTAATTGTCCCTAACATACTTTGCTACTTCGTTTTGATCCAGTCAGAATTTTTTAGTGCATTTGGCTGCGATGTTTCTTAATTTAGGAGAGTCTCTCACCCTTTTTGGTGGTGATATTGTTTATGACGTTGTCTTGTAGACTGTCCCACTTCCAGATTTTTCTTACTGTGACCTCATGAGAGATGCTTTCAACATTTTTGGTAGGAATGTTGCATTGGTGATTTGTGTACCTCTTGTTTACCTCTATTTTATCAGGAGGTCTATAATGTCAGATTGTCCTATTATTGGTGCTCCTAAGTTTGACCATATGATTTCTCTATTGTGAAAGTTTATTTTTTTCTCTTTGTAATTAATAAGTAAATTTGGAGTTTACACTTTTAGACAGTGGGAATATATTGCTCCCCTCCAATTTTTATTCAGTGGTTTTATGATACATTGTTGATTCTTAGCTGAATAACTTATTATACTGGAAGTTGCAAAATGGTGATTCTAAGTTTACTATTCTTTTTACATTTATTACTGGTATTCTGAAAGAAGAGCCTTCCCTTTTCCTCTGTCATTTTCTCTATCTCTTTCTCTTTTTAGTATCACTATAGACTCATGGATTTTTTAAAAAAAAAAATCAGTGTTGGGACATAGTGCTGTCACTTTTTTATCATAGAGGTTTATTTTTTAGTATAAATTAATTTATTGAGATTAACAGAGAAGTGCACAGATCATAAATGCACAGCTCAGTGACTTTTCACAAAGCCAACACAGCCATCATTATCCTTTTTGATGCTTAGTTTATTTCAAATGTGGCCAGAGGGGTCCTCCTTAAGCTGATTCCTTTGTCCTTTTGACTTGACTCTACTAGTCTGAGCACTTTTTCCTTTTTGTCACTTTGTCCTTTTCTTGTCCTAGACCTGATTATCAGCCATTTCTCTAAGGAACCTTGATTTTTTAATTTAAATTTTTAAAATTAGGTTTGTTTAACAGAGACACTTCATATCACTAGTCTTTGCTAGTTGTTTTTAATAATCATTAAGATAAATACATATTAAGATGAACATGATTATGAACCAACTAAAGTAATCTCATATTCCACAGTGGAGCACATTCCATGCATTAGAAAACACTGCTGTCTACATAGGCATTCAGCATAAAGGTCGTTTTGGCCATGCTAAGTGGTGCGGGGGCAATAAAAAACAAAAAGAGTTCCTTACATTTGCCAGGACACATCCTCAGCTTGAGCCATAGATGGAGCTTGGTGCTTATAATGAATTCTTGTGTGTGTTTTAGAAACTCCAATAGCAAAAACGATCGAAGGAACCGGAAGTTTAAGGAAGCTGAGCGACTCTTCAGTAAATCCTCAGTTACTTCAGCAGCTGTAAGTGGGATGCGGGGGTCTTTATGTGGCACATTGTTGTGGAAGACCTTTATTAAATTTCTGTGAGCTTTCTCT